AAAGTGACACCCCTTTCTCTCTCCATTTATACCTGAGCATTCCAAATGCCTATTGGATTTTAGTTACCTGGTGGGAACCTCTGCTTTTTGAGCCTTTTTTGTAGAGAAACAGCAATAATATTCCCAGAAGCCATGAAAACATGAAATTGGGGCTTGGGTAATAACATTTACCAGGGTCTGCTTCAAGAAGCTCCCCACTTCCCTGCATCTGCACGTGCGCGCGCGCACACACACACACACACACACACACACACGTGGAGAATTTATCCTGCAGTCACAGGAGTACTCTGATTTTGTCTGCATTCACTTGGTGAGTTTTCAAAGCTGTGACTTCTCCTTCACAGTGACTAGATGCAGAAGAATTAACCCTCAGAGTCTCAGAAGAGTTGTTAAGTTTGAGAAATAACTTTCTCCATCTACGAGGCTATTCTGTGGTGGAACCAACTCTCACTGAGCTGTTCTGTCCTCTGAGGGGCCTGACGGAAATCCTGCTGGGTCATCGCTTTTGTTCTGTGCCTTTCAAAGGCTCAACAGCAGGTTGACAGGAGTGGCCATCCTGGGCTCATTCAAGCCGTAGTGATTTTCTTTCCTTCTAGAGACTTTTGTTTTCAGTTTATCAAATATTTCAAACATACAATGAAAAAACATACAGAAATAATTTAACTGGCATTTATGTATCTCCCTAAGATTTTTCAAGTATTAACATTTTGCCATTTTTTTAAGGTTTTTTTAAAAATAGAATATTATAGGTACAGTGGAAGACCTCTCCTTATTTAATTGCCTTTTCAATTTCCCGGTGCTACCCAGAGTAGTCACTATCTTAAAGTTAATGAGGAGTATTTCCATTTTACTATGTATAGTTGTTATACAAAAAATATATAGATTGTTATGTTTTAAAATGTGTATAATGGTTTCTGTAATTGACACCACTTGATATACTGTACATGAGTCTTTTACAAGGTACACTTTTATATTCATTTGAAGAATCATTTTCATATTGGTACATTACAATCAAGTTCATTTGTTTTTGAATGCTATAATAAGCAATGCTGTATACAATAATGTCTCTATTCCTTTATTGATGGACATTGGACTGTTTAAAATTTTGTTTTTGCTATTAGTAATGCTTTGAACAGCCGTGTTCATGTCTGAGAGTTTCTCCAGATCTGCACTGTTCGGTACAGTAGTCGCCAGTTTAAAATGTGGCCGGTCTAAATTGCCATGTGCTATAAATGTAAACTACATACCAGATTTTGAAGACTTAATATGAAAAAAATATAAATTATCTCATTAATAATTTTTATATTCATTGCCTGTTGAAATGACAATGTTTTTATATATTTTGTTAAAATATACTATTAAAATAATTTCACCTATAATTTGGCTACTAAAAAATTTAAAATTATATGTACATGACTTGCATTATATTTCCATTGGGCATGCTGTTCTAGATCAGGAATTGATAATCTACTACCCACAGGCCAGCTATTTGTGTTTATAAATAAAGTTTTATTGGAAAACATACCCAATCATTTATACATTATCTATGGCTGCTTTCCTGCATCAACAGCAGAGTTGAGTAGTTGCAACAGAAATTATATTACCCATGACCGTAAAATATTTACCATGTAGCCCTTTAAGGAAAAGTTTGTCGACCCCTATTCTAGAGCAATGATTTTTAACCTTTTTTAAATCAATACCCATAAAAAAAATATGTTTAATATCATGATCCAACACACATACACATACTCCCCTGAAAAGAAAGTTTTGTAAAACAAAGTTTCACAATCCCTAGTATATATTTTCATATTTTCTGGTCTGTTCTATTTTGTTAAAATAAACGGTTGGTCAATAAACTATCGTGACTCAGTAAATTGACTTAGCAGTTCATTAACTACTAGAAATTTAAATATCTTTGCTCAAGAATGTATACTGAAAAATAGAATAGAAAGTGAATAGCTTCATTATAGGAATATGCATATTCAACTTCACAAGATTCATCAATGTGTTGTCCAGTGCGTGTGTCTGTATACCAATCTTCAGTCTCTTCAGTCTCACAAATAGTGCTAGAAAGTTCTCATTTTCCCACATCCTTAACAATATCTGATATTGCCAGACTGATCTGATCGGTGTGAAATGGAATCTTCTTTTATTTATAATCTGATTACTGGTAGGTTTGATCATGTGTTAATTGGCTTTTCTTGTTTTTTCTTTTGTGAATTGCCTTTTCATATCTTTTGCCCTTTTTTTTAATGGGGGTCATTTATCTGTCTCTCGTATATTTATATTCTAATACTTTATCCATTATATAGATTGCAAATGGCTGGATTGCCCACACATTTGTTTTTTTTACTTTTTTTTTTTTACTTTATAGTGTCTATTATTCTATGAGACAGAAGTTTTAAATTTTAAAGCAATCAAATTTATCTTTTGTTATGGATTTCCTCTGATATTTTCTTCTAACAAATTTTAAATCTTGGGGGATTTTTTTCCTGTCAAAAATTCATAGTTATACATGGTGTGAAATATAGTTCTACCCTCTAATTTATTTTGTCCTATTATTGATAGCTGGTGTATGAGTACCATGAACTGTTTATCTTCCCATCACTGATGCTACACTACATTCGTCACATAGCAATTCCCATAGACAGAGCTCTGTTCATTGGCTCTCTGTCCACAAAATGATTCTAGATACATTAGAAACAAATTTTTACTAATCTCACTTATACTGTAACCAGGTCTAGAGGGTTTTACAGGCAAGTTTTAGAAATATTTCAAGGAACACATAATCCCTATTTATACAAACTATATAAGATCACTGAAAAAGAGAAAAAGTTACACAATTCATTTTGTAATTCTAATTTAACCTTTATAACAAAACTAGACAAGAACAGTTCAGGAAAGAAAAATTATGGGCTAACCTCACATTTAAATGTAAAATTAAAAATCCTAAATTAAATATTAAATTGAATCCAGCCATATGTAGTAAATTAAGTTAATGCAAAATGTGCAAGCATGGGTTAATTTATTAATTTATTAATGTAACTCATCACATTAACAGAATAAAGGAGGAAAATGATATGACTTTTGTACAGATATAGAAAACCATTCAATAAAATTCAATAACTATAAATGATTTAAAAATATAAAACACTTAGAAAACTTAGAATAAAAATACTTCCTTAACCTGATAAAGAACATCTACCATGCAGCGATGTTAAAGCATTTCTTGTCATGCTCTGATATTGAGTGTTCCCTCTTTGCATCTGGCACCTGAGAACTTTTCGTTCTTTCACCGCTTTGCTGTTACTTTAAATAATTGTGTGTGTGTGTGTGTGTACTCACACACACATTTGTGTGGTTTTTAGTTTTATCTATATACATCATCGAGTGTTTTTTTATGTTTGTGGAATGAGGAGCTATGCCAGTTCAGCAGCTATGGTGCTAGAATTTCTCCCTTGGCAATTTTCTGAGCCTGAAGACCAAGAGACTGCAGAGACTACTCTGCGGTTTAGGTTCGTGGGGCGGGCACGGAGAGCAGTAGTTGGATTTCCATAGCTGGCTTCTCTCCTAGATTGAGGAGTGGTCATTATTCACAACTTCAGATCTTGGCTTCATCTGGAAAGCCATTACTGATGGATCTGATGAGAATAAAAATCTTTTATGAAACTTTCTATGACTGTATTTTGCCAGAGGGTAAAAGAAAGATAATCTACTGTTGCAGCATGATACTTCCAAGATCCCTACAATGGCATTGAAATATAAAGAATACTGTTAGCAGTAATATTGCTATCACTGTCTCACTTACATTTAACAGCTTTAAAACATTTTCCATAGTGGTTCTAAGGGTCAGAGTTGGGGAGAGAGAGGTGTTTCTAAAGAACACTTTTCATAGTAGCACACAAACTTTCTCTAAACTTTTCTGTGAGTGAACAAGAGATTTCAGTGGCTGTGAAGACCAATAGGGCCTGGCCATGTTGAACATAAAGAACAATCAATACCCTCTTGACTGTAAGGTCATATGCATTAAATAAGGCAGTTCTGATGCCAGATCGATATTGTATTGTATATTTCCTGCAGCAGATGTTGAGATATAGATCTACTGTCGTGGGAACAGGAATGTCATCAGGAAATATCGGTTCAGATAAATCTGGGTTACCACCAACAGGGACAGAGCTGGATTGATTGTGGTGAAAATGTCAGGTCAGAGTGAATATTCATGTAGTCCTTGAAAAAGGGGGAAGGAGAAATCAATAAGCTAAACACTCTACCGAATAATGGAACTGTTTTTTTCCAAGGAGAAGTTCTTTGTTCCTGAACTTGGTGTTCCTGTCCCTGATATGTTGGCAATGTTGTCTTAGAGATGCAAAAAAAGATTTCATAGAAAGCTTAAGGACAGATTCATTCCACAGTTCTGGAATAAGGATTATGTTAACATAGTTATATCTGAGTATTGCACTAGACGTCTGGTTAAAATTTAAATAAAGTCCCCTTAATTCCAAGGGACAACCTAGACTCTTTGAAGTTATGTCAAGAGAGTACCAGGCAAAAAAGAAATCCCATGTTTTTAGTTTTGATTTGCAATTCATTTATGCTATGATCTTGCAAAAGCTACCCAATCTTTGTATATCTCCATACATTCATTGGCTTATATGATAATATTCAATTTTTCTTTGTAGAGATGTTGCATAAAATATAGTAGATGACATAAATGTTGTGGCAGAGAGGGTCAAAATATGAAAGCAGTTTTTCCTCAATCATGATTTTGGCATCTGTCTGTATTTAATAGATTCACTTCTCTTACCATACCCAAGAAACCTCTTACCATTCATGTGCATAGGTTTCAAAAGAGCCCCTGTTCTCTCTTCCCAAAGTATTTTTTTCGAAGCTTGCTGGTGTTGGTCAGGTTTCAAGAGCATAGTAGGTTCATGGTCCATTGGCCTTGTTTTTGACTAGAAACCAAATTAATTGCTTTTATTGTTTGTTGCTACATTTTCCAGGCACCTTTTAAAAATGAACAAGAGCAGCTCTGATTTGGAAAAAGTGAGCCAAGGCTCCGCGGAGAGCCTCAGCCCATCCTTCAGGGGTGTCCACGTCAGCTTCACCACGGGCTCCACAGACAGCCTGGCCTCGGACTCCAGGACCTGCAGTGATGGAGGTAACCAACTTGACCTTGACATGAAGGCTTAGATTCCCCCAAGTCTAGAAGGCCAGGATATACTGGGTTAACTGCCAGGGTTTGGGAGGGCTGAGCTAGACCTACTGTCTTGGTCCTGCTTTTCCCATAAATTACACTCTTCCGGGGAGTGGTTGACATTGATTCCCTGTTGCATCCATGGCAGGGTGCCTCATCTCCTGCTGCACTCTCCAGTCATATGTGGTGCATCCACATGGTAACAAGGTGAGAGGAGGCAGAAGTTGAAAGCATGTTGAAAGACGATTCCTTGGGTAATGAGCCATCTCTATGTAGTTCTGCTTTCCATTTCTGTCCTAAGGATTAGTTTTCAGGGGGTTGGGCACATGCCAACTACAAGTTTTCTCTCTCGCCAACCCTCTGTGTTTCTCCCTCTCTCTCCCTCCCCTCTCTCATGTGCGTGCATGCACACGCACATGTCTATACATGCACACACTTGAACACAGCAGGTGTTTATATACACGTTTGTTGAGTTAAGAGCACATGTTTCAGTAGGTTACCATCCATCCCATTATCTGGATAAAGCTCAAAGGCATCACGTGTAGGTATGTCCTGATTGCACATATTTCTGAAAAGGACCTCCCGTTTTCTATAGTTGTGATGGGTAGTATTAAAAGCTCTCACTCTTTCATTCTTTATGTGTGTGTGTCCTCTCCTGTATCATGTTAGGTTTCGACATGCGTTAGCATGGCTTCTTCTCTCACTCCTATGGAAGAATTTTTTCTCAGTAGGCAATTTTGGAGTAGAGGCTTCTATTGAAAATTTACTGTCACCAACATTTTTCTAACTAAAAGATGAGTACTGCTAAGACAAAAACATACGTTTTAAGTCAGAATGTGGTGTGTTCTGATGGGAAACTTCTGATAGTTCCAACTTAAAAACAGGAAATATCTTAGCCTTGATTCGGGTGGGATGTGACAAAAGAGGATTTTCTTTTTCTGCAGATTTTCCTGGGCTTCTATCTTTTTCCTTTTCCCATCCCATTGTGCAAAAATTCCACAAGGCAGATTATTCCATAGAGGGCTGGGCTGGGCACATGAACCATTAGCCCTGTGTTGGTCAGCCCTGACCCGCTGTCAGGATGGTGACCAATTCTGAGGGAGCAGTCGACAGTGGAGTCCTCCATCGGTCACCGGCCAGCTGCTATCGATGAGAACGCGACTTAACTGCCTCCGCACGTTGCTTCTCAGAACCAGCAAGTCATGATGTTTGCTCTCAGAGCTCTTGTAGTCTATCAAGGAAAATAAGATAAAAACACGTGACACATGGGTAGATAGAATAAGCTAGAAAATTGGGCTGCCCAGGGCATGGGTACTTATAAAGGCTGATGGAAAAGAGAGAGGGTTTAAGGAAGGCTTTTCAAGAAGATGGGGCTTAGTGCATGTCTGAAGTGTGGTTAGAATTGAGAAAGAGAGAGCTTCTCAGGTAACAGAAACAATAAAAGAGGAGTAAAGACTCGGGTTAGCAGTGCACATTGGGAAGAAGGTAAGACCAGCCTGACACACTTCAGTGGAAGCAGGTGAGGGGAAAATGGGACTTGAGGCTGGTGGAAAGCAGGAGGCTGGATTGTACAATGCTCTTGAAACCAATTTATGGAGGTAGGAAAAAGGGAGCCGCAGGGGGTTAATGAGTACAATGGTGGCACCTAATTTAGACATTTTTTAATTAAAATGAGTACATTTTCATGGTTATTCTTTTACGATGAGCAGTTATTCAATGGAAATGCATCTCAAAATTTGGATTCCTAGATCCACAGGAAGGTACGAATCTTGTTACCAGACTCTGGCTCCTTAGGATAAGCCATTTCTTTCTGCTGCTCCTGTGTATGGCTCTGTACTCAGAACCATGCTTTGAAATTGGCAAAAGACCAAAGGCATGCTCTTTCGTTCTCTCTCTCTCTCTTCCTTTCTAACATCTCTTTAACATTAATCTGGAAAATATCCAGAAGCACTGGTCATGAAATGTGAGAAACCCTTCATTGGGCTTCCTATCATTAACAAGGCTGCTTGCTTTCGAGCTAATATTGAACAATTATCTTTTGGTCCCATAAATCCTTACGTCTACCTTGTACTTGAAGTAGTCACCCATCATACCATCTATTACTATTTGGCATCTAGTACTGAAGCTGAGAGTGGATCAGAATAAGAGAGGTAGAAATAGTTCAAGCTGAAGTTCTTTAAACCAGAATGTACTATCTACCTCTCTGATGTTATATATTAAATCATACTATACCTTTAGACTATATGTTTATTTTGTCAGTAGGAAATCACTGATGAAAATGATGCATTTCATTGACTTTTTGCATCTGCAGTATAGGCTGGCCAGAGAGGTGAGGACAAAGTCGTTCCGGGGCATATCATAGTAGTCGTTTGTGTAAACTGCTTAAATGATCGTCAGGTTCATTCTGCTATTCAAGTTCTGTGACAAAATTTTAAATTTTACAAGAAAAACATAATTGAAATCTATAACTTTGTTACACTTTAAAAACTAGTTTGTTTAAACTTTATGTTTATAAAGTATCATTTTCGTATTAATTTTACATCTCTATGCTTGTGTCACATTTCACAGTCATCAAAGCACATCTGTTATCCCATTTGTCCATGTGGGTAGTTCAATCGAACAGCGAGTCAACTTGGTAGAAGGAAGCAGTTGTTTCATTTATGCTTGCTGTGGGAGGGACAAAGTGCACGTGCCAGGACAGATCTATGAATGCTGCCAACAGGAAGCTTGTCTGTAGTGAATGGGTGGATGGATGTGAGGGGAAATGATCTGCTAAATGAAATGGTCATCAGAAGACTCTTGTGCTTTAAACGGTTACTTTTAAATATGCAAACCTCATGACTCATTAAGATCATTTTCCTTTTTGATTTAGGATAACAAAATTCAGTTCAGTAGCTGAACAGGCATCTATGGATGCCAGGTTCCCATGGTACAGGTGATTAGAGAGTTTTGTTGAACTGAAACTGTTAGTACAAACACTAGATAAGAGGTCTAACTATACAGTGAGCATAGATATAAACTCACATGAAAATATGTACCAGGGCAGTGTTGGTTTTCTTATTTTTATAGCTAGCAAACCAAAAGATACAGAAAGTTAATTAAATATCTTGACAGTAGTTAGCTTATTTTTCTAAATAATAATGCCAAGTCAGTTTTTAAAATGTACATTAATTCAACCATTAATTTGATAGATATTCGTTGAATATAAACTGTGTTCTGGGTATCATTCTAGTTGTTTAAGATATAGAAGTGACTCCTCCCAAAATACCCAGTTCCTTCTTTCATGGAGCTCACATTCTGGTGAGGAGAGATGGACAATGAAGAAGATAAAGGAGTCAAGTAGCCAGTGGGTCAGATGGTAGTAGGCGCTATGGGGAAAACTGAGCCATGAAGGTGGCAGCGAGGGGTAGGAGGACCTGTCAGCAGGAGACAGTGAGTCCACAAAGATCAGACATCAGTCAAAATAAGTGACAGCAGACTGTCACCGAGCATTTGCTCCCTTGATTACTATTTCTCAGGCTGTTACCTGAGAATCCATAAGAAGAAAGAGTTTTTTTTTTTTTAAAGGCGATCTTGAAAAAGATATCTGAAACTTTCTAGCTAAAAATAGTGTGTTTTCTGACTGTTAAACAGACTTGTTAAAGCACTTGATCCTAAATTAATGGGTTCGGTCTAATACATTACATTGGAGTTTATACCCCACCCCCAACTCCCATAGAGGCAGATTCGGTCATGAGTTCTGTCCCAAGAGTTCTATTGCTAAGGGATGAAGAAGCAATCACAAAGGAAGAACTACTAATTTTTAAGATTGTCTGTGGCCTGAGCCCTTACAATATCACTAAAGTGAAGCTTCATCTTTGTTTAAACCATTTCTCTTCAAACTGAATTTTAAACACACACACACACACACACACACACACACACACACACACACACACACACACACATACTTAATTCAGCAGAAGTCATTACATGTCTACGGTAAAAATTCAAACAATGAGGAAAGCTGTGAAATGAAAACTCAAAGTCTTCAGACCGCCCCCATGCAGCTCCTACCACTACTTTGAACATTTTTTCTGTATCATCTCAGAAATTTTGTCCATATTTTGAATATCATAAACTTCATTTCTGTGCATTTTTATACTTATATCTTGAAGTCTTTTAAATCAGAACCTCTAGAACTACTTCATTTTTTTTAATGCTGCATAATTTTTCATCGTATGAATCAGTTAAACCTCTTATTAATGGATGTTTAGGTTATTTTCATCACAAGTCTACAGTAAGATCCTGTGACATATGTTGAAATAATTTGGTGAGCATATTTGTAAGATAAATTCTTAGAAGTGGAATTGATGTGTCAAAATATATATGCATTTTAAATAAACGTTACCAAATTATCCTCTAAAAATGTCAATTTATACTTTCATCAACAGCATGCGAAAGTGCTTTGAACTACCTTTTAATTTTACTATTAATTTGGAAGAAAACCCTTAAAGATTGTGTTATAATGAGGGACTGAAAGATCATGATTCCGGAAGAACACTTGGGCTGTAGGCATGGAATATTTTCCGTGATCCTTTTTTCCAAACTGAGACAGTGCTTCTCTTTTACATGTAAATCGAATCCATGTCTCGATTACTATTTCTTGGGATGATTAAGTAGTCCCGAGGGACTACTCACAAATGCCACATTTTCCATTCAGTTATAAAATGCTAATAATAATAATGCCTCCATTTCAGACCACCTTTACCTTATTAAAAAAGCAAAGAAACCTGTCAAAGGAATGCTCATTGCTTTAAAAAAAAAATTTAGAATTGAGCCCATTGACTGTGGGACCAAACAAGAGGTTGCACAATTTTCCTTTGGAGGAAAAGTTACATGTGATGCTAGAACCTTTCCTCACCCCCAACCTTCTGGGGGCGGGGGGCAGGGGTTTGGCAGAAACGAGCAAAACTGCCATTTCC